GAAGCACATCGGGGCACATGATGTGCCCAAATCGACTGAAATCAAGGAAGGAGTGACATGGAATGCTTCCAAGTCGGTTTTTCAGGCTTGTGTCAAGATTGGTGATCAAAGTCTGGTAACGGAGTTCAAGACTTCTGATGATGCAAAGCATTGGGTCGACATCCTCAAGGCGCTGGAGTCCAAGGGGCTGCTCAAAGCTCACTTTGCAACGATGAGACAAGCTGAGGCCAACCGCAAGGCAACACAGGAAGCATACGAGAAAATCATCGCAGCTGACAAAGCTTTCCAGCCAGAAGACTCCAAGTCCTTTGCCAAGAACCCACAGGAGGGTAAGGACATCTGGGCCAACTTCTTTGGACAAAGCCAGAAAAAAGCAGAACCAAGCCTACCTTGCTCTAGCATCCGATTCCCCAAGAACTCGATGGACAAGCTTCGGGAGCTTGGCTACGAGCGCGAATTGCGAGGGGAAATTCTGGGGTGGGAACATCGGACTCTTGGTTGGAGAGCCGTCCGTGTCCTTACCCACACTGGCATTGACAATGCTCAAGAGCACCTTGATAAAATTGCTGCAGATTGCAAGTTGACACATCTTGGGTTTGTGCGGTGCGTCCACACCAAAGAGAAGCCCAAGCTTTCTGACCAAGACAAAACACAGCTGGAGGCATTAGCCAAAAACAATACAGTCTTGGCCATCGTGGCGTCGTACCCTGAAAAAATTGGTGCTGTGGGCTGTTGGCAGCTTAGCCACAAAGGGACATCTGCTCAGATCAAGGAAGTTGAGCTTGGTTTCATCCTTCGACGGGTGGAAAATGAACAGTTCTTAGTCCATGACCTTGTTCCTCAGGCGACATTTGCATCCAAATTTGAATCATTGGTGCGTGGAGTTTTCAACAAACATTTGGACAAGAAGGAGAAAGAGGCTTCTGCACATTTGGTCTCCTTTCAAAGGTTGCCTGTTCTTGGAGACGGCCTGTGCTTCTACCATTGCTTCTTACGCTGCTCTTTGTGGAAAGACTACAAAAACGTGAGCCGAGGCAGAAATGGGGCGCCTACATCCAAAGAGCGGTTAGCAGATGAGATCAGCATGGCCAAAGCACTTCGATCGGAGCTTCTTGCTTTGTGTGGTGGCACAGACAAGCCAGAGGCAAAGGAGATGGCTGAGGGAAATGAAGTCGGCTTGGAACTGGCCCATTACATTTGCTGCTTGAGCCAGTCGACATTCCGAATCACCATTGCTGATGAGGCGTGGCGCTTCATCTTCAATTGGTGTAGTTGGGAGATCTAGCACATGGAATACAAAACTCTAACAACTACAAAGCCCAAACAGTAGCCCAAACATATCGGGTCAAAGAGTAAGGAGAGGTAGGGTTTTGTATGTTTTTTGTGTTGAATAAATTCTATGTATCTCACACCCATGCTATTTCTGAGTTTTGAGCATTGCCATCTGTTCGAGAGCTTCTAATGGTTCCAATTGAAAGGAATTTAGTATGTCACCATGACATATGGAGCAGGTTCCCAGTGAATATGGCAACTATCCGCGTGATTGCCTCTATGGAGATGGTTCAGCATCTCAGGTGGCAGGGCACTTAGTGTCCCGCTTTTTGCGCGATGAGTCTACTGGCAAGAAGAGCTGTGGTCACTACGATATTCTCATGGATGGCGCCTCATTTCCGCACACATAATTCCCCTCAAATCCGCACACAGACTTTTTTAGATATTTAACTCAAGTGCGCACACATGATTCGCCTCATCTGCGCACACATCGATTACATTCCTCTTTAAACAGCCCATGTTACCCCAAACTCAAATGCGCACACATGATTCGCCTCATTTGCGCACACACCAATTCAGTCATGATGATCTCTTTTTGCTCATTGCTTCGTTTGATTGATGATGTGTTAATAACGTCCCTCTGGACATTCATCTACATGATGATCTCTTTTTGCTCATTGCTTCCACAGGTTCACGTCCACAGGTTCATTCATTCATTCATTCATTCGTTCATTCATTCATTCATTCATTCATTCATTTTTTCAGCCGTGTAAGCCGCGTGTACAGACGAGGGAGCCGCGTGCACAAACGAGTTTCGCGTGTACAAACGAGATCAATTCTCCGCGTGTATATTCGAGGGAAATTCCGCGTGTACAGACGAGGCTCCGCCCCTATTCTCATCCCGTCTTCCACCTCGCAGTATGCCCACATGAGATTGCCGGCAGAAGCGCCAGTCAAATGGGTGGACTTCTATGGCCATGGGTCAACCCCTCCTGCTGCACAAGGACATGATGCACCCGAGGCCCATAGTTGAAGAGACAGCCAAATGACAACATGCGCCATAGCTGGCGATAGCAATACATGGAATATCGTCTTCTGATAACTGATAACCTCATTCTTATCATGTGGGTCCTAGTGTAGATTGAAGGTTGAAGCGTTTAAACAAGTGACTTGGAAGGCTCAAGGGCAAGCATCAAACCCATCTACACCGCCTGTGGACGCAAAGGCCAAGATCCCTGAGAAAGGAGATCTGAAGGCCACAGCTGACCAAGAGTTTGGAAAACAGCCAATCCAAACATGTTTTCCAAAAGGTTTTGTGTCCCTGTAGGTGGCACAAACAGTACATGGAATATGTGTTCTTTTGCTTGAAATGAGTAGTGGGACAACTACTCGTCTGAGGCCAGCAGTCTTGGGGAATTTTAATTATATAACTTGTAGGCTCGATCTTTCAGAGTGCACCGTGCCTTAAAATTTTATCTCTTGGAGCTCTTGGTAAGTGACCATTGGGGTGAAGTCTTCAAGTTTCAAGGGGTGATCAGTGGAGAATGGTGGGTCGTGTTTCTGATCTAGTTGGTAGTTGGTCACTGCCAACATTGTCTTATCTGCGTTGGGCAGTATCGGACGGCTTGACACCCCTGCCTTGATGGTATTATCGAACCCCAATGTGGCCATACTCTTGGCCCCGGACTTTTGTATCTTGGTACTAGGTGTTGTTTGGAGAAAGTTTCCAGGTGTTGTAGTACTAAACGAAAAATCTCTGCTTGTTGCCGAAGAGCTCGTTTATTAGGTGGTAGTGGATGCACCAAAGGCAGCTGTAGCAGCACATAGCAGTGCCTTTGCACAATCTAGAATGCACCAAAGCTTCGATGAGAGATGGCTGGATACGGAGATCTTTGGTCGGGATGGCCTCTATATATCCTTTGCCATGTGGTGGACGAATGAGTAGGTCTATACCCGTATAGCATAGAAAGGAGATGGTGAGTTTATACCAACTGATACCTTTGTCCGCCGGCGTGGCTGGGGAATGCACCGGAATCCACTTCAATGTTGACATCTATTGCTATACTGCGTTAGCCAAAATTCGGCCCCAGATACATGTCTTAAAAACCATCGGATGAGGTGGCTGAAGTGATAGGTAGTCTGCCGACGCGGGGCGCCAGTTAGCTAAATGGTTGGTTACTTTGGCGTATGTTAGGGCGACTGTGGCGTCGCTGGTCTTTTTGGTTTGATTTGCATTTTGGATTTTGACATATGCACGGTTGATGTCAATCAGAAATTTCCACACGGCGAGGATTTCAGAGTATTCTCGATCATTGTGTGATATTGTCTGGATTGTAGTGATGGTATGGGAGAATTCTGGACAACCCGTGGCATGTGCTTTCACTGCTGCCTGATCGGCAAAATTGTTGCCTTGGATATGCGCGTGCTTGGGTGATGTTTCTGTGAGATTTGACCTTATGTATCCGAAGATAAGGCGTGTCCCAATGTTCTAGGAGTCTCTGGACCAGGTCAGCATGGGCTATATTGAGCTTGACCTTGGTGAGTAGATTATATTCGATGTAGTGAATAAGGTTCATCACATATTGGGAGTCAGTGTAGATATGCACAATACTGGTATTACCCGATTTAGATAGGATTTCAACGATCCATGTGACAGCATAGAGTTCTGCTCTAGAGATGGTTGCCGGCCTTGTAGATGTGCGGCTTGTACAACCTGGAACTGGTCAGCTGTTGGCTCTTGATTAGGCTGTCCTAGATATTGCACGACTGCCCATGCGGCTCGTTTAGTATGGTGATATGTTGCATCAGAACAGGAGCCATCCGTGTAAAAGCACACTAGCAAGGACACTTGGATAGGGTTCGTTGAGTTTGGTAGTTCGCCTCGAAGACGCATACCAAAGGAAATTCGGAAATGAGGGTCTGGTCTCAATGTTGTGCCGGGAGTGGCATGTACAGTCTATCTGGCTTATTCTGTAATGCCTGAATGGCTTCTGGGTGTTGTGATCGGATGGGGTTGGTTGCTGGACAGTGGAAATGTCGATGCGCTCTTGTGTCCGTGGCATCGCATAAAGGACATTTTAGGAGTGGTTGTACTTGACCACTGCGATTTAAGGTCTGCGGTCTGCGGTTTGGTATCCCGCAGTGATATCCATGAGTAGCCAGGATTGGTTTTCATCGTCGATCTGTTGCCACAATTTACGGGTGATAGTGACATCAAAAGGATTTGCTTGATGGCCATGCCGGTGGCAAATGGATATAGTCCCATGCGGTTTTGGCAAGCAAACGAATCTTTTTGCAGTTCTAGGGATAAATTGATGTGCAAACCACCTGGTCCAGACACTTTTGCTTCGGGGTGTTGAGCGTCCATCCAACCTGGTTAAGAGCTCAGGGCTCCTGCTAAACCTTGTGAAGTTCCTTGATGTGTGGTCGCTGCCTGAATAAGTTCCCTAGCTTGGCCTTGGTTATGGTAAAACAACCGGCGAATGGTGGTAAGGATTGCAGTGATGTTGTAGAGTTGGGGATCTGTCATGAGTGTTGTGATGGTCGACTGATTGGCTATGGTAGACGAAGCAATTAGTTGGGGGCCTCCCTACTAAAAATACAATGCATACAACCGACAAAAAATCAAGCACCAAATAGCGAGTATATAAAACAGAGTGTTACCATAATGGTCTGCAGGAACTGTAGTTACACTTTGTGTAGTCCGATCGTGTGGAACATTGCCCCGCCTGGCCCTCTCCATTCTAGTGTATACCTCGTAGCCTTCGCAAAGAGTGTGTGTGTGAGAGAGAGAGAGAGGTGAGAAGCGTGAGAAGTGCAAACTCAGCTTTCATGCAACAAATGTCTCCACCTGTATTGATGGAAGGCCCCGCCACGACAAATGTAGAGCTTCTTCATAAGCCTCCAGCCACAGTTCATCGAATGGTGTCACGCTTGCCTTGCTGTTTCACTTGGACCTTTCACAGAAAGGCTGCCTGCAGCAACTGTAGCTTTGCCCACTGCGGTGTCAACGACCTGCAAACACATGCACCATGGGCAAAAGCACACTGCAGGTGCGAACTGAAACCTACTGTAAACGATTTGCAAATATATCTATCACCGTTGCAGTGGTGACAACCGCGAAACTTGAGATCTCAACGGCTTTGCATTTGTACCCTGCAGGACCTGTGCTGTCATCTTCTGTCATCAAAAGAACATGAAGAAAAAAACTGCCCGGGAGAATTGAAGAATTGTACCATTGCACAGCACCTGACTATCTAGCGGACATCCCGCCCTTTTCCAGCTCGAAGCTTCCAGTGACCATGGTTGGCTTCCTTCATTCCGCAAGAAGCGGAGGTGATCAAATTCTCCGTCTATTGTACCAAGCAGAAAGCAAACTCTGTTTGCAGCTGACTTGGCACTGACCGGCACTGCAATGCACTTGCAACTCCAGTCTGCAACGGACGACTGTACAATGAACAATTCAGCCAGTTTGCCGGCATTCGTCGCGTCGTTGTTGGGCACGCAGGTCAAGCTTTCAAGAGGCTAGACAGCTTCGATTTGCATTGACCGCAGCAATTAAAGAAACTGAGCCCAAGAAACCACTACACAGGGCTAAACTGCGCGCCCAATGTTAAAACACTTTGGTTGTGGGAGCGTCGGCTTCGCCGATGCTAGATTTGGCTGGAATACCAAGAAAAAGAGGCAACGTACTTTTGTGAATGGCATTCCTGCCGTTTCCGTGTTTGGCTCTTCTTGATAAAACCAGCCAAAGAGAGGTTCAACGGGTCGTGCAGTGACTCACGGTGACACTTTGCGTCCTTAGTGTGCAGCGGGTCGAGCTCAAACTTCTCAAACCCAAAGGATTGAATAACTGTCAGTGCAACATGAAGACTGTGAATAACTGTTCCTTGGTGAAGTAGTTCCGTGCAAATACAAGTATTCCAAGGTACACACCGCTTCGCTCGCTTCTGGCTTCCGAGTCTTTGAGGTGTTCGCTTTCACCCTTCCAATGTCTCTTTCAGTGTCTCCTGCGGAGCAGCTACATTTCTCGCAGTACCCCGGAGTCTCTAAAACGTGGTGGTTTCGAGCTTTACACTCACCTTGGTTCTGGCATGATCTCGGGCACGTCTGGAAAGAACTCGTTTATTGCCTGCACAAGCCCAAGGCTCTGCACCACCAGAAAGGCTGCCATGACAAACAGTGGAGTTCACGTGTCTTTACACACCTTCAAGACATAACTCAACAAATACACCTACCCTATTTCCTTCTTCTCCATACTCCATGTTGATGCAATGCAATATGATAGTAGTGATACTCCATGATCCCCGGTTGACATGCATAGGTGGGGTAGGCACATACATTTATCCAGATAGGATTCCTGGGACCTAGGTCTCAGCTGGATATTTCTCCTGGAAAAATGTCAGTGCCAACCCTGGGCCGTACGTAGGACCGTAAAAAATATTCAGCGCCACTTGGGTAAACATGTTCGCACAATATAGCTGGATAAAATTCTAGAAAAATAGATTTCCTGTGTGCCTGACGTGCTCTTGTCAACTGTGCCGGGTGCCGGTGCTGGGTGCTGTGAGCTGGGTGTGCGCATGCCATGCACACATCACACACCCAGTTCTGGAAAAGACCAGAACTGGCAACACGCACAAAAATCCTATTTAGCCAGTGTCGCATTTTAATAGCCGACACTGGAAGTAATACACACAACACACACCCAGTTCTGGAAAAGACCAGAACTGGCAACACACACACACACAAAAATCCTATTTAGTCCTATTTAGCCAGTGTCGGAAAATTGAATAGCCGACACTGGAAGTTGAGCCCAACGATTCCTAAAGAAAAAGAAGATGAGTTGCACCTTTCGGCGCTATTATACACCTTTCGGCGTACTAGTTACAAGTAGTGTTTGTTGGTTATTTTGTGGGCTGGGCGTGCCCAAGCTAAGGCCCATGAACGCCAGCAGGACGAAGATGCTAATTCCTGAGTCTCCTTAGTTCTTTCCTTAGTTTTT